TGTATGATAGGGGTTAGAGTTCTTATGTTTAGGACCTCAGGAGACTTGAGATTATTTAGAAGTTGGCAAATGATGTGGAAAGTTAAGAAGGACATGCTCGGGACAAAGGCGGAAATATGGAGAGAGCCAGAGAACAGAAGGGGCATTGGAGGTCACCTAGCTAAGAGGTGGGCGGGTTCTAAGACTAGCATCCCTCCCACACACCATAGCTGTGGTGCCCCTCTACCAGGTTAAAACAAAGAAAAGTACAGAAAGGTACACAACCCAATGGCATCATATTTGCTTCCTACACTGAGTACGCTAAGTGTTTTTCAGTCTAGATGCATCATATTTCATCAGTGCCCAGTCAGGGATTACAGTGAGAAGATGTTTTAACCGAAGAGTCTGGCTTTCCAACGATGCATGATCACTAGCCACAGGTGACACACTGTGACAGCTGTGGGTATTGGTACAAACAAGATAAATGATTTATCTATCGCTAAGTTATAATTTCTTCTGTGTCACTTGGGAAAATCTAAAGACCTATAATACGGAGGGGATTAACTAGAACCTTCCAGAGTGAAGCCACTGTCTTGAGAAGGCCTTTCTTATATAAAGTGCCACCCAAGTTTCTTCAAGCTATACCTTGCCTCAGTGGCCTTCTCAAACAGCCTGAATTCACTTTACTGCTAGTTTCAAAGAGCATTCCAAGTTGGCTCAAAGCCCCTCGGAACACATACCAACCTCTGTGACAAGACATATATTGCCATTCCCATTTGACTTCCAACAGGAAGCCCAGAAGGGTTATCAGTCACATTATCACCACAGACAGCATGAGACAACTGCTGCATCTGCGACAAACTCTTGACCGTTGCAGAGAAAAAGCAAGGGATGTTTGAGCATTTTGCCAATGTGATAGCAACTTTCCACCTCTTCTCTTGCCATTTTTTTTCTTTTGGCAAATGTTAAAGGGATTGGTCCACCCAGTCATAATCTTGTTAAGTGAAGCCAAATCTAAATTACCCTTGCAGGCTGAGCAGTAGAACTCAGAAAGTTGGCTATAACAAGGGCCTATTATATGTCCTGCAGAGCTTTAAAAAAGATTTGAATTAAATATTGAGTTGGAGTTTCCTGATTGAAAAAACTTTCATAAAGGAGTTCAGATTCTTCCTTCAGTGTTTTGAAATCTCCGTTGCCTTAAGGAATTCAAGAGTTCGTCTGCCCTAAGAGTCCGTGGAAATGCCTGAGTAGCTCTCTTCACTGTGAATTCCCCCAAATCTAGCATAAGAAAAAGGGAGGTAAAGTATGGGAAACGGTCCCCAGAACTTGCGTCTCACAGAGCATGCTCAGAGAAACAAGGCAAGAAGAGTGAGTCCTACTGAATGGGAAAATTTTTCAGTTGTAAGTCTCTAATATTTTCCAAATTAAAACAGCTTCCTGAGTCCTGTAATTTGGACATGATCCCTAAAAGGCCCATCATTTGATGACAGGGAGTGTCTATATAAATTGGACAGCTTTCATATTAATACCAAGGTGACTCTAGAAGCCATGACTGATAAGCACCATGGAGCAGAACAATCATTAATTTTTTTTAATTCATCGTACTACCTGCTGCTCATTGGTGTCCCTTCACTGCCACCACATTTCAAGAGCAGCAACATTCCGCAAGAAAGTAAGTTCTCTGGTGGCCGGGACGCATCACCATGTTCACAGCTATATTTCAAACTTCTGGACAGAGTCTGGCTCTCAGTAAATATTCAATGGATGAATGAATGAAGGGGTGCTGCAAATACAAAGGATGAGTGCGGCTTAGATAACTTGGCATTTTTGTTGGATAATCATGTCTGCAAGAACAAAATATTAATAAGAGACCTGATAAACATCTTTTACTTTTTTTTTACTACATCAATATAGGCCCATTGAAAAGCAAGCTAATCTAGTGCCTTTGGTAAAGCATTAGAAAACGAACACCAGAGTCACAATTCTCCAACAAATCTTTGAAGATTTGCTTTGCAGCCAGACATTGGTTCTAGTTCTAGCTGAGTCATTTAATTGTTAGTGAGCATAGGTATTAATGCCTCATCTGAACATGGCAATACTGACCTCCAATGATGGCTGTGAAAAACTAAGCAAAATATCTCACCTAACCCTTCATTCACAGTTCCTGGCATATATAAAACCCAATATATAAAACTTCTTAGGGTCACAAAAAAAATATTCATTTTGATTAGATTTCAGTTCATTGAGTCAGATTAAAATCTTTTAACTGAGCGAATATCTATTTTTTTTTAAAAGCATGCTATTACAAAGTCACACAGGGCAATTAGTCTCACTTCATTAGAACAATAGAATTATATAAAACCTTTTTATAATTGATCATTCAGTGTTGCCCAAAAATTCAGAAATAATGAACATTAGTGGTTGGAACTCATAACTAAATGGCCAGTTATCCTGAAATATTTGTCCAAAAGTCTGAACCATTTAAAAAATTTTTCTTCCTATATTTCCATTAGCTTTGTCCAAATCAAGAGCTATTTTCTGCAAGCTTGTGATGCCATTGCCCCTTTTTTATCTTAAACCTCTCTATTTCCACAGACACCTATAACGTGTGTGTGTGTGTGTGTGTGTTGTTGTTGTTGTTGTTGTTTTAAAAGAAATGTGATTTTCAGAGTGGCAGGATGATTTGATTTTTGATTTTCCTGTTTAGAAAAACACATTTATAAATGGGAAAATCCCACTGAAAGGTCCACGGTGCCCACAATGAGCATTGACAATTGCTTTCTCTGTCCTCACTTCGCCCAGGACTGACTGGCAGTCTTTTCTGCTGGGACTCAGAAGACACTTCCCTAAGGGAGAACTTCTGGGTAATTCAGTCCAGTCATCCTGCACCTCGAGTTCTCTCCAAGGACTTCTCGTTTTACTCCCATGGTTCATTTTCTCCAAGTACGACCCACAGACCACATGCATCAGAATCAGACAAAAACTTTGAGTAAAATGCAGATTCCCATGGAGTGCCCAGATCTTCACAATCAAAATCTCTGGGGTGGGGCTCAGGAACCTTCATTTTAACAAGTGCCCCATGTGATTCTTAGATTGCAGTGTGAGCACAGCCGATCTGCACATGCTTCCGTCGTCTATTCCCATGGCCTCGACCATGAGACAAGCTGGAGATCTCCCCAAATCTGTAAGTCCAGGCAAGACCCTGCTCCCATCCCCTAAAGCTAACTGCCGACTGACTTTTATACCTGGATGTCCAGTAGACAAGAGAAACTGAACACACTTGCCTACATGCCACCCCCAAATCCACTGTCTACACTCCAGGGGGAAGTCTGGTCAGGTTTTCTCACTGCTTAAATCTTTCAGTGGCTCCTCTGTGCTCTCACGGTATAAGTCAGCAAAGAAATCTCCAACTATACCTCTCACTTCTTGTTCCCACTGCCCACTCCACTCCCCTGAAGCCATTTCTAGGATGCCTCGTGTTTTCTCTGGTCCCTGAGCCTGACATGCTGTGCTTTCTGCTTCCCTTCCAAATTCTTCTTTCTCCTGGCACATCCACATTCATTTTCTAGATTTCAGGCTGGCTATTTATTGCATCTTCTGGGAAAACCTGAAAGAACAGCTTCTCCACCTTTCCCCAAACTAAGGTCAGTCCCCCTCCTGTGTAGTCTCACTGGCACCTTCTACTAGTCTCTGAGCACCATCTACTCACATGCAGGGCTTCTAAGTACTTCAGACCATCGTACGCTCCTTATGATACTAGTCTGTAGTTGCTAGTTTGCTGACTTTCATTCTTCCTAGCTCCATGAAGCAGGAACCACGTGTGTCTGATCCGCAACGGTGGCCCCATTGTGAAGCACAAGGCCCAGCGCACCGGGAGCTTCATGTGTACTTGGAAATGAATCCAGGAACAGACGCGTGGTCCTTGCCGCCTCAACTCCCTGGAATGTGAGAAAGGTGCTTTGGTACCTGCGACATCACTGCAAGGAGTCTAAGCGCAAATATCAGGCAGCTTTCCACGAAGGCTGTGTAGGCTCATTGAGCAAGGGCTTTATTGAAGTTGAGAGTAGATGTGTTGCAGATCAGAGAGAGGAGACACGTTTTTAATGCATCTTGGCTCCCAGAAGTAAAATCTGAGTGGGAGATGCTAAGACAAGCATCACCCTTGGGTAACGCAGTCCTTGATCTTGGCCTCCTGATCAGAGAAGGGCTCCTGGTCTGCTAACACATGCAGCTTCTTCCTGACCCCAGCTGTCCACACCACGTGACTTAGGAAAGGATCCAAACCCAAATCTCCAGTGTAGACAAGCTCTTCAGAAGTTGACCAGGGGTGGGGGTTGGGGGGTATTGTTGGGCACATCGGTGTCACCAGAAGTCCCTTTCTGACATACAAAGATCTATTACCTCTAACTTTTGGAGGTATTAC